TCTCTCTCTCTCTCTCTCTCTCTCTCTCTCTTTCTCTCTCTCTCTCTCTCTCTTCTCTCTCTCTCTCTGTGTTCAAGGAAGAATGTATACAACAATGCATGTAGCAATGATGATCAAGCAGCTGACCTAGCTCAGGAGGCATGCACCCTGAGTTTGAACTCCAATCGAACTACACTTGAAAAGTGAACTTTGAATGCAGTTGAGGACGAGCAGCTTGAAAAAAGACTCTCGCCGTTTCTTAGAAAGGAGGAAGGAAACCGTGTTCCAGCAGGCGACGCTCTCCATCAATAGATGGAGCCTCTCCCCAGGTGCTAGTGGTGTCTGCTCTTATCAGCACCGCGAACACTAGTGGGGAAAGTTTTTTGTTTAAAAAAATAAAAATAAAAAATAATAATAAAAAGTCAAAGAAAAAAGAAAGGAGGAAGGAAAGGGAAAAGACGATCATGATGAATTATCTAACAGTTAACATTGTGGAATGATACTTTGCATGTAGTTAAGCTTGGGTCAAGATGAATTTTAGGCAGGTAGGCAGGTGTTGCAAGGTAAGGTTCAAAATCAAGTTGAAGTCGACCTTGAGCTCTTCCGCATGGAATGACATTGTATCATATTTCAAGCAATACATACAAAAATGCAGATACGAAAGATGATTCATCGATGTCATTATTGAGGTTCTGCAGTTGTATTGCCACCCTGGAGGTCACACTACCTGAATAGGACAACTGACTGGTCGTTGTAGCTGTATTTGGACTGAACGTCACACGAAGTAGAGGAGTTCATCGATCCTCATATCTTGGCATAAGCCCCCCTCTGTGCGAATACCATCTCTAGCCCGGCGATCTCGGCCTCAAGAGCTAAGTATTTTAACCGGCTATCGACAGATAGCACACGGCAATCAATACGGAAAGCATATCGAATATGATATTCACCTCACCCCTCCAAAGCTGTGATGTTTGAACTCAACACACACCACAGACAACGCCACAGGGGCACTGCAATTCTCGCACACTTCCCTCCAATCTGTGCGTGACCTGATCTTCTAGTCGGTTGACGACGATTTGCCAGTTTAAAGGATGATGGTAGGCACGTGGGTTAAGGTGCTGGATGATTGGTCCAAGATAATAAAATTAAGTGAAAAACAAAATCATGAGGGCATTCTCTCCCTCCTTTCAGGGCCATTGAACCATGATCATGGCGGATCCAACAAAACATGGTCGAGTGATGTTATGTAGGACGCTGCCTGTGAAGAAAAGAGACAGAAAAGAATCATTATGATGGTGTCTGACTCTGACAGATTCCCCGTCTCTGGACGACGGTACCCAGATCCCGTCATCCCATAAGTATATTCCTTTTCTGTTATTGTTAATAATAATGATAACAGTAATATTATTTTACTAATATTTCATTATTATTATTATTATTTTTATTATTATTATTATTATTATTATTATTATTTACCACAGGGTTCTGGGTCCTTTCCATCCTGGGGAGCATCAGTCCGGCTCCTATTCCACCGGCAATTTGAAGTCAGAACAAAAATTGCATAGAGGATATTTGTCGGCTAAATTGCAGAAATACCTGTTTGGAGAAGTATCGTTCGAACCTTTCTCGGCCTTTTGGCTAAGATCAAGTGTAGTATCTGTTCTGATCGGTTTAATATCTGATCTGTGGTCCATCGGGCCACAACGATATTAAATCAATTTTTTTGGGCCACGGAAAAAAAAAAAAAAAAGAAGTATCGTTCGAAACGCCGTCGGGTTCGAGTTATTAAAAAAAAAATATTAATAATAAAAAAAATTCGTTCGGGCCCTATATGGCTGCAAATAGACCTGGAAAGTTGCAGATATACCCTTTTCGCAAAGTTTCGAAGCAGATTTACCCGGACGCCGGGCGGTACCGTCATTTGTGACAGAGACCCCGTTCGCCCGGCCTCAGACCGAACCGAATAGAACGCGGGTCTCCTTTTTTTTTGTTTTTTTCAGCGGCGACGGCCTCGACATATCATCGTCGAACTGACTGGCCCTGCTTTCCCTCGAATACAACGGACGGTCATTATAGCTGTATTTGAGGCACCTTTCAGTCTCGATACAGCTATAATGACCGCACGTTGTATTCGGGGGAAGAAGGTGCTTTATTCAGAATTGTAATTTTTTATTATTATTTTTTTTTTCGAAATTCAATTGATGAGGCCGGGGACCTCACAATACTGACCGTGGGATCACCAGTACTGCACGGTTTGCTGCAACTCACACGTCCCACTTAGTACCCGAATACTCTATTTCCGACCATAGATTACAAAGATCAACGGCCAAGAATGGAAAGATCAGCGTAAGTGGGACTTGGCCCCAGGGCAAAGAAGAAGTACCTCCTCTGTTGCAAAAGGTGGTACCGCTGCTGGGTTATTTTAATTTGCGGTGAAAGAAAGAACCGACCGGTAAATCGGCTTCGAAAGTTTTGAAAAAGGGTATTTCTGCAACTTTGCCGGCATATTTGCCCAGTTGCACGGGCAGACCTGTAGTTTTTTTCCTTTGCTACGATACTTATGTGAAACTTAGTGTATCTGCAATCTGCCCAGAGTCCTCCCTCAAGTCTTCTGTGTCTTGAAAAAAAAAGGCAAGAAAGGCAAAGAAATCTGATAAAAGAGCATGTGAGACTTGAAAGAATTTGAAAGATGATGAAAAGATTTGAGAGAAGAATTAGCGTAGTTAAAAAAAAAAAAAAAAAAAAAAAAAAAAAAA